AGGTGCTCNTGGTGTTATGAGATCNNAACGGCTGAAGTTAGTTTNCGGTAATCAACGGCTGAACCGATCTCATGAACCGACNAANGTCAATTTAACCCAAATAAGCAGAGATGATTGTAGNAGAGTAATATAAGTAAGGATCACACTTACGACGCCATTGCTGTAGAGATGTCTGAAGAGTGTTAAGTATTAGAGCATCTGCAACATCATTTACCATGAACTCATCTAGACATAGTAAGATTGCATCATGAGCTATCTCTTGGGTCTAATAAACCCTTATGCTTCTGCAAACAGATTGACCGAATGTGATTGCCAAATGTTTTATGGCAGATTGGCCCCAACACAGAAGGTTCTTACTTTAGTTTTTCATCACAACATGCTGCATTCTCATTTGGATGGTAAGCAGCAAAAGTAAATAATAATATTCACATTGCTTATTTTATGTTCTTCTACTGTTCGATCTTTTCATTGAATTTTGTCTTACATAAATGGTTTCTATCTCCTTAGCTCTCTCTCTTTTCATATATTTTCTAAAAACTCAACTTAAAGTTATATATATTTGATGTACAAATTTTTTATTTGGGTTTGAATGAAATTTTATATTTAGTTTCAAAAAGAAAAAAAAACAATTATTTGTTTTTATTTATCGCATTGTTGTGTTCTTAATTATATATGTATGTTTGTGTTTGTTTATCATAGTCGATTTCTAAACTCTTTTATGTAATTTAGGTTAGTGGAATTAGAAATTTCGTAATAATAATGACTTCATCTATGTTATATTTGTAAAGTTTTTATTTTGTAATAATTATCTTGAATAGCTCAGATTTAGAAAAAAATATTTTGTCTCTGTTTATATATAATTATAGCCATATAGAAAGGTATTCTTAAACTAAAAAAGAAAAATTCTAATTGTATGTATCTTAAATGTCTAAAAGCTTATGCTTATTATTTTTCATATATCATAATTATTTTCTTTAAATGAGGCGGCCGAACCCTAACCCTAATTACGTCTATCACCATGATTTTTAAGGTTTTATCTTATTTTGAAAAAGTTATTTATTCAATGATTCATGCCCTTATA